GCTCATTTCTAAACAACGATTTAATACCTGTCCAATAAAATCGTTTTAAATTTAATTACTTGAGATAAACAAAATATGTTGAATAAAATATTTTTCTAGTTAAAATCTCAATGATTTAAAAATCTTCGGTGAGACAGCTGTAACCAACAATTTAATGAATTATTAAACTCGTCGTTTAACAAAAAATCGGCTTTTTCAGAGCCACGATTTTTATCCCTCGATCTATATTCGTTCTGAAGCGACGTATTTTCATGAATACCATACTACAGTATCGTATGCTACCGTATAATACGCATATTTGCATATCTCGCAATAAGCATAAAAGCAAGTTCGCAGAAATTCAGTAATCAATTGGGATTTGGGAGCGAAATTTCTATACGAAATGTGGACAACGTGCCCTACGTTCGAATCGAAAATATTTCTGGTTCATCTAGGTTCAAAACATGTTTAACAAACCAACATGACGCACGGAACCAATAAATCAATACGAGGGGGAAGTACCGCGCGTTAAATTGCAAATAAAAAAAAGTCATATTTTCGAAACAATATTTTAAACGAATCGACGCAGCAACATCTATTTCGTAACGATCGAAAAAGTACATTCGTGTTTGTTAAATTCGTTCGTTAAATTACGGAAACTCAATTCCCATTATTCAATTGTTTGCACATTTTATCAGGACTGGCTTGTTAGTCAATTTCAACACACCTGTATTTAATGGTGGAAAGACAATAATCGATGTAAGCATAGTTTAAATAACATCATATTTCAATGTTTCTATTGGAATTATTTGATTATGGGAAGAATAATTCCATGATTACCATTTGTAAACAAATTTGTTCGAATGAGTAGTTGAACACAAATTAGGGCAATTGGATCATTATATTGTCATTAAATAAACCATTTATAATTAATTTAAATTCTGACAGTTGAAACACAGAATCAACATAAATTATATACAGGGTGTTCGGTCAACCCTGGGAAAAATTTTAACGGGGGATTATAGAGGTCAAAATAAGACAAAAATCAAGAATACTAATTTTTTAATTAAGGCTTTGTTAAAAAGTTATTAACGTTTAAAGTGGAGCCTGTACTGAATTCTTTTCTCGAAAGTGCATAGGATTTCGGGGATATGTGTAATGACCAAAATTGATTATAATTGACCCCCGCAATCGAAAATAATTTTTCCAGAACGATTTGAAAACTGTTTTTTCCGTCGAAAAATTTCACACCTTCTCGAATTTTTTTCTAGAAAGTGCGTAGGATTTCGGGGGTATGTCTATTCACCAAAATTGATTGTAATTGACCCCCGCAAACGAAAATAATTTTTTTAGAACGATTTGCAAACATTTTTTTTTACCGAAAAATTTCACATCTTCTCGAATTTTTTTTCTAGAAAGTGCGTAGGAATTCGGGGGTATGTGTAATGACCAAAAATGATTGTAATTTACCTCTGCAACCGAAAATAATTTTTCCAGGACAATTTGAAATTTTTTAATTTTGTCAAAAAATTTCACACATTCTCGAATTTTTTTCTAGAAAGTGCGTAGGATTTCGGGGGTATGTCTATTCACCAAAATTGATTGTAATTGACCCCCGCAAGCGAAAATAATTTTTTTAGAACGATTTGCAAACATTTTTTTTTACCGAAAAATTTCACATCTTCTCGAATTTTTTTTCTAGAAAGTGCGTAGGAATTCGGGGGTATGTGTAATGACCAAAAATGATTGTAATTTACCTCTGCAACCGAAAATAATTTTTCCAGGACAATTTGAAATTTTTTAATTTTGTCAAAAAATTTCACACATTCTCGAATTTTTTTCTCGAAAGTGGGTATGATTTCGAGGGTATGTCTAATGATCAAAAATCAATGTAATTGACCCCTGTAACCGAAAATAATTTTTTTCCAGAACTACTTGAAATTTTTTTTTCACCTTTTAGTCGATTTTTCTTTAAAATTCGTTTTCAATTTTTAGTAATTTTGTTTGACACTCTACAGAAAAGTTGTCTAATACTTTTTCAGAGGTACCCATGAGCACTACTTCATAAAAAAATTTTAATGGGATGCCTTTACTATTGTAGGAGTTATGGCCGTTTGAAGACTGGACCAGCTTTAGGGGGTTTTTCTCTTTTTACGGGATTATGGAACAACTTTTCGAATATTTTTGGAATTTCTACATATTCTCCGCTGAAATACACGTTGCTTGCCGTTTGAAACATTAAAATCGGCCAATCCGTTCAGAAGTTATGACGTTTTAAAGATTCGTATGAAAATTCGGGCAGACGAGAAATTATATTTTCGGTAAGGAATTTTTTTCTCGGAACTGAGTAGGAATTCGGGAGCATGTCTATTCACCAAAATTGATTGTAATTGACCCCCGCAATCGAAAATAATTTTTCCAGAACGATTTGAAATTTTTTTTTTCCATCGAAAAATTTCACACCTTCTCAAATTTTTTTCTAGAAAATGGCTAGGATTTCGGGGGCATGTCTATTCACCAAAAATAATTGTAATTGACCCCCGCAACCGAAAATAATTTTTTTAGAACGATTAAAAATTTTTTAATTTAATTGTTAATAACTTTTTAACGAAGCCTCTATCAACAAATTGGTATTCTTGACTTTCGTCTTATTTTGGCTGTTGGTTTGTCTCTTCCAAAAGAGAAAGTTTTCTTTCCTTGACAAAAACCACGGATGTGTGTGTTGCGTTTCGCGTTTCGAGATACAAGTCAAGAGGGCGCTGCTGTCTCCCTTCCTTGGCTTGTTTAGACAAAGGTTAGGACGTATTTTTCGTCACTGACCCTTTCATTCTAGATGTTTCTTTAAAACTATGCAGACGTACCTTCCAAGTATTTCAAATAATATTAAAGCTTAGTTAAAAGGAATTTCGAACAAATTATTTTTTATTTCCAATATTGGTCTCTAAAATCTCCCATTAAAAGTTTCCTCAGAGATGGTATAAGTTTCCCCACCCTGTATTGTATAAAAAAAGCCTAGAATCATACAATCTACCGAGTTAAAGAAAAACTAGCATTTTGTCGTGACTCGACGTCATTCATATCTCAGAAATTAAAAGGAGATGAAAAGGACGTGGCAGAATTCTAAGCTTGTGATAAGACACGTCTACAAAATGAAAGCGATAAGCCACGCGCGCTAATGAAAATTTTAATTTCAACTACTTCCATTATACCTTTATGAGAGTATTGCTAATGGATTGGCAAAGTTTCCCCGATGAAAATGAGTCCAAACATGACCCCGTTCCGACCATCTCTTAATTATATATATATATTCGAGACGTATTCGCAGCATCCAAAAATGAATTAAACTACTCTGTTATTAAATAAAGTCCTAACACGACCGTGATTCGATCATTTTCACTCGAAACACCTCGCCAAAATTGATAATACTGTTGGATTCCAGTAGAATTGGCAACACTGTTTCCATAAGAAATTCGTACAATGTGTATCAGGTTGACTAAGTACTCTTTTAGTCTACGAAATGCGGATTAAAATACACATACATTTTCTGAATCAATCTAATTACTTTATTTTATTACATTTTTATTTCAGTTATTATTTTAATTTTTAATTATTGTGCACATTTACTAAATTTCATCTGTACGTTGTATATGTATACTAAAAACTCTATTATTTCTTACTTATATTATTTTAAACTTCGTGTAATAAAAGCCCTCGTTTCTAAATTGTTATTTAAAAAAAACGATACAAATATGTTACTTTATTTATTATTGCAAGAATTTTGCAAACATTTCATTTACTCGGAGACTCTACTTAAATAACTTTGCACGTTCAATGTGAATCCAAAATCAATAAAAACAACTTAATTCTGACGAAATTAAAATAAAGAATTTTTTTCAAAATTTCTCTTTCCATCTCCGAAAGGTGTTTTGAAACAAATTCAATGAATCCAAATTCAGTAAAAACAACTTAATTCTGACAAGATTAAAATAAAGAATTTCTTGTTTATAAATTTCAAACAAAATTTCTCTTTCCATTTCCAAAAGGTGTTTTGAAACAAATTCAATGAATCCAAAATCAGTAAAAACAACTTAATTCTGACATGATTAAAATAAAGAATTTTTTGTTTATAAATTTTAATCAAAGAAATAATACAACCGTGACTCACCTATTGCTTTTCAATGTTTGGTTTAATTAAGTGTATCCAAAATATGCTTAATATGTTAATAAAAGATACAATTCAACTGTTAATTTGAACGGTACAAAAGTTTAGAAAGTAGGTAACTAATTTTCTCGATAATTAGGCGCGAGGTCATGAAGATCGTCCGATTGAATTAAATTTTCTCCTGAATACACTTGTCATTCATGAAGCGCAACACGCGTACAGTAATAGAACTTCCTTCATTACAATATAATTAGAAATTAGCTTCCAAATCAACTGCGTGCAATCTAGACGAAAAACATAATTATTAAACGTTATATATTTAATTTCTTCCAGTTACGCTACAAATATGCCTACCGTGCCTATTTCGATCCATTAACACCGATAAACAATATCGTTGCAAAACATGTTATGTGCTAAACATTATTTAAGAATTCTTATTTAAGTTTACGTTAGTTACATCTTGAAGTAACATTCTATACTATTTCGAAATTGTAACGAAAACACCCACCTTAAAGTGAACATAACCTAATTAATCTCGACAGAAAATCAATTTCTCGAGTAAAACGATGAGTGTCGCTGATAAAATCATAAACGACAGGATATTGAACTACCAATTAAAGTTATAAAGAAACTCGACCTGAAAAACTGTCTAGATGTTGTAAAGGAAAATGTGAAAACAAACATATGCACGGAATCCACGGGGCCAATATACGTATCGCGTTTCGTTCGACGGTCAATCATGACAGAAACCAAACTGACAAGTACACTGACCTCTATAAGAAACTGTTCAACCCCCAGTCGAAGCATGTCCCCGCGACCACGTTTCCTTGACCAACGAATGCAATTCAATGTTACTCACGATTAGAACTCGATACTCCCCAGCTGGCCCGCATTTCCCGTGTGCAAGTGGTTTACCGGCATCTTCTTGACAGTTCTCGTTGCTCGTGGTCGCCTGCTTCATTGTTTCATCGCGATCGCGTTGACGGTTGCTCGTCGTAAACAATAAAGTGCAACAACACCGATGGCCGACGATTAGCCGATGCAACGAATAAACACAACGAAACCCGCGAACGATAACACTACAAAACGGAGAAACGATATGTAGTCGGTGCCAAGACGTTCTCGATTTACTTATCGTTGAGGGCGCCGCGACGCTTATCGCGTTGTAAACGGTCGCCCACTGGCGCACGCTCCCAGGGCGAGTGCATCGATCGAAGCACCCTCTACTACCCGGCTTCCTTATTGGTCGATCATTCGTGCGCGCGCAATCTTAAACGCGGGGTATTTCTCGCGCTCGCGCACTCCGCGATTGAAAAAGGGCGCGTTCAAACCCTCGAAATTGTTCTCTCATTGCACATGGGCCATCCTTTTTTTCAACGAAACTTTGAAAAATTTATACATTTAACAGAAACAGTTTCCAAACACATTTTCCAACGATCGGTCAGCCTTGCTGTTCCAGTTTAATAGAAATTAAAACTCTCGAATTGAACGCTAAAATCTCTTCGAGTGCTCTACAGGTTTTTCGTTCCAAATACAATTTTATTTTTTTATAAATCATCAGAAACATAAAACTAAATTACAAATTGTAAGTAGTTATTTCAAGTAATTTTCTAAATATACATACATAATAAAATTATTTGAAAAAACAATCACAAGTATCTCATTAAAATTAAATTTATTATTTATTTATTTTAACATTGTAAATCTTGTAGAGAAAAAATTATTTATTCTGATCGTAAATATTTTTTTATAATTATAATACATACAAAATTACTGTAAAATTTCTTTATAACATTAAAAAACATAATTTCCTCTGTTTGGAAAAGTGATGTAAAAATGTTTGGGAAGCACTGATCTAAATACAAATGTATTTTTTAATGAATATAAGGAGTAATAAGTATTATTATTATCAAAAAATATGGAGGAACTATTTTCAATTGCAGGTATAGTGCCAACAAAAATAAATATATACAAATAATACATATAAACATTTATATTAATATTAAAATTACGGTAAAGTGTAAATGATCGGTGATTCAATATATGTATGTATCTTTTTGCAAAATTATATAGTAAACTGAAAACGTTAAATATAATTTAAATGTTAAACCCGCGTCTGGGTTTGAACTAGAAATTTATTTATACCCAAATCTAAAGGTCGCTTCAAAATTTTCATAAAAAGATAAATTTTCATCGCGGTACAGTTTCGTTATCGTTAACATGACAGTTGAGAACCTTAAGTGACGTTAGTCTTCAAAAATTCTCGCTATATTAAAGCGATATCAATGTTGTCAAATTTTGACATTTCAAATTATAATATAAATTTAACACTTCTCACATTATATTAAAAATACTCTTTCAGTTGCATTCGCTTTGGTGCTCATTATTTAAAAAAGTTCTTTAAATATTTCTAAATTATTTCAGTATTCATTCGATTTTGCCCCACCACTTTTGCCACATTCGAAAATATTCGTCTGAAAAAGTCTCGAGTATCAAACCCCCAATTTCTAATTATTAGCATTGTTGCAAACAACTCTTACTCACTTTTCTAATTATTATAGATTACATGTGAATGCAAAACGAACATAAATTAATTATACAATGAAAAGCACTTTAAATATCAATATTAAAAGTGACGTATAAGGAATGAAATTAGATATTGGCATTTGATTAAAGTCGGTCACTAATCTTGTGTTCCCCTCGACAACGTAATCCTATATGCGCATACATGATGGATGGTGGAATCATGTATAAATACTCGGAATTTTCGATCCAAGTCACATAGTCACGACGAAAATTTCTCCTACGTTTCTTGATTGTTCGTTAAAATTTTATTTTTCAGACACAATATTTTTTTTAATCGTTTCAATACAGATCCGTAAAATACACAAACTAAAATAAACATAAATACATGACCTAAAAGTCTGGAATCTAAAAGTATTCACAGGTTTAAAAATACAGAATGTTTTTTAGTCTTAGGATAACTTCTGCGCCGTTTTACTTATCAAGTCGCTTGAACTCTCCCTCGAGCTTAAATTTTATCAGGTTTGAATTACATGAAATTGTATTACACGAAGTACTTTAACTCGATTATCTCAAATTACTCGAAAACTGCATATTGTACAAGAAAACGTAAAAGAAACAAAATATCATGAAAAATATAGCCACAACAATCATAGTTCATTTTAAATAAACTTAATTATTGGGTCCTACTTGGCCAATTTATTTACTCGCTCATCCCCGCTGACAATCACATTTTATAAAGCAGACCAAAAGTTGAAACGTTTATTTGAAATAAACTATGTTTATTTCGATTAAGTTTTTTATATCATTTACTAGATAAATCGATTTTTAATCCTGAAATGTTTAAGCGCGTCAAATTTCGGAAGAAACTTGCCACCGGATCTGTAGCAGAGCTTTGCAACACGTTCGAGAGTTTACGGAGTATCGTGCTTGAGCCGACAGGTGACCATTTTAAGCACGTCCTTTAAAAGCAAGTAAATAGTTGTCGAAGCACGAAACAAACTGCAACGCGAAACCAAGATTACGTCGAACAAAATTTATATAAACATTCCCTTTTTATATTTCTTACGTTGTGAGAAACACTTTGCAGGCCCATTATAAACTTCGAACTGAAAGCAAATGAGGAAACATTGGTACATGTCTGTTAATGAAGTTTAGTAACAAGTTCCGTCAAATTTTGGAGATCTTGGCGTCATATTCCAGTGAATAAGTTACATTACAGATGTTCCAAAACTACTTTGCAATCGGTCGACTTTGATTTAAGACGGAGGCAGCAAAGTTCGTCCGAAGATAATCGATCGTGACCGTGATATACAGTGAGTGTAAAAAAAAGTGTAAAGTCAATTTGAACAAAAACTTTGCGGAACTTTGTTTATTACAAAAGTATGTTAACAAAAACATACATACATATTCTTAGAAATCTCTGGAACAAATGCCATTAACAACAAATTAATTATTTATATTTATTATGAAAATATTAACAAATTTCTAGAAATTGACCTAAAATATACGCGTAATAAGTATTCGTACAGTCTTTGATTCGTAACATTCCACATAGAACGATTACAAGATAATCCATCATATGTAAACATACTTAGCATCAGCATGCCTGGAGACGCTGTCGGTATAGGTAGTATCCTAAGTATTATCAACGAAATTATTAGTAAAATGGGACGAAAACGCAAGGAAACCTCTGAAGAAGAAAGGAAAATTGTTATAAATTTACATAATAAGTGTAAAACACTGAGTGAAATTTCTAAAGTTTTAAATAGACCGAGGTCCACGATTCAAGGAATCATTGACAGATATGGCGATCGAAAAACTGTAAAAACTATTCCAAGAAACGGACGTAAACGAATAATAACTGAGTATACCGGCCGATGGATAATTCGAAGAATAAAGCAAAATCCAAAGATAAGTGCGGTGAAAATCACAGCTGAACTTAAAAATGATCTGAACATTAACGTATGCAGTAGCACAGTGCGTAATTTTTTACGGGATAGAGGATATCACGGTAGAGTAGCTCGTAAGAAATATTTCGTAAATGAAATTAATGGAAAGAAACGATTGCAATTCGCGAAAGAGTACGTTAATGTTTCTATGGAGCACTGGAATAGTATTATATTTACCGATGAGAGTAAATTTAACATATTTGGGTCAGATGGACGATTTACAGTATGGCGGAAAAAAAATACCGAGTACGATAAAAGAAATTTGAAGCCGACCGTAGAGCATGGAGGAGGATCAGTCACAGTTTGGCAGTTAGGCCATCATGTTAGGTATCATGGATCATAAAATGTACATCGATATTCTAAAAAAGCATCTTCAGGTTAGTGGAAATAAAATGCAGTTACAGAGCAATTATATATTTTTGCAAGATAATGATCCAAAGCATAATGCTTATAATACACGTCAGTGGATCCTATATAATGTGCCGCAGCAATTAAAAATCCCTCCACAGTCTCCAGACGTAAATGTGATAGAGCACTTATGGAGTCATCTCGAAGAAAAAATTCGAGACCATGACATTTCTTCGAAACAAGATTTAAAAAATGCACTTTTAGAGGAATGGAACAAAATTTCTACTACTATAACCAAAAATTTAGTAAATTCAATGCCGCAAAGGCTTAAAGCGATTATAGAATCTAAAGGAAATCCCACTAGATACTAAAATAGCAAATAGACTGATTTTTGTTACGTTTATGTACTAAAATTTACTGTTTTTGTTGTAAAATTAGAAGTGTACGAATACTTATTACGCGTATATTTTAGGTAAATTTCTGGAAATTTGTTAATATTTTTATAATAAATATAAATAAATAATTTGTTGTTAATGACATTTGTTCCAGAAATTTCTAAGAATATGTATGCATGTTTTCGTTAACATACTTTTGTAATAAACAAGGTTCTGCAAAGTTTTTGTTGAAATTGACTAGTGTACGAATACTTTTTACACTTACTGTATACATTATAGCAATGCTTGGATAACTGCAAGTCATTTTCGATTGGATATGTGAACGGTAGTCGTCCTTACTACTGACAGGGGGATTTCTCTTGACACACGAAAAGGGGTGAAAAGGGGTTGCAACGTTTGTACGGGACATATGTATTTTGTTCGTGGTCGGATTTACCTGATACTTGGTCCGAATGTTCATTGACACACCTATTAATGTTGCCTTATTTCCGTAAATGGATCGAGAAATTTCAAATTTAACATGTAAATATGGTGTAAATACGCCTGAATATCGGCATGGGTGTCGTTATGAAGGTCTTTTGGGACGTTAATTACGAAAATGGTATCAATTTTGAAATGCAAGATGGCGACATGACATGAAATTAAAACTCTATGAAGGTGAACGGGGGCTTAAAAGGTTTTACGGAGAAACAGTATCTATTTTCGAGGGAACTAAACGGTTTCCTGTGTCCAAAAGCTAGTCTCGAATAGGATTCAAGATTTAAACTATTCAAAGGAGTAGTAATGATTAAAAGGTGTCCTCGTATTTGTGTCTCGCGGAGGAGTAATCCCCGCCGAAGTTTTAACCGTTAAATGAAATATTTCCAACGTCCGCGTGGCTTGATTGCACGGGATTTTGGTGAAAGAGCGCTCGTTTCGGCGCATTCCAAAAATTCCAAGGAAAGTGTTCCGCACATTCGTTAGATTCAGAATTTCACTTGCGTAGAACGCGAGGGGGCGCGATTCTACCTGAAAATATCTGAGCTATGCTGCCGGAAGTCTTGAAAGACATCGCCAGGGAAGCGTCGTAGCTTATCAAAGTCCGCCTGACTTCCTCGCACCAGTTCCAAAAGACGAGGATCTGGTCCCTGGCCTGCAAGTCGGCCAGCAGCAGAGCCAGGTTTTTAGCGACAGTGGCATCGATTCGAAGCACGTGGCGACCTTCCACCACCACGGGAATTGTTTCTGCTCTGCCGTCACACCTGAACAACAACAACGTCAGGTCAAATGAAACGAATGGCCAGGTAAGACGCCGTTCTGGATACGATTTACGCGATCCAATTACGGGGAAGGAATAATTTTACTTGCCAGGACATCACTCGTTCGCGTAGGTATTCCGCGGCCGGGTAGCTCAGCGATTGTTTCGGCGATACGAACACGATCATCAGTCCATCGACAACGCGGTCCTCGATCAATAATCCAGGCCTGGCCGCGAAATAGAGCAAGAGAATCAGATTTACCATGATCCCGGCAATCATGCCGTATTCCGGACCGATTGCCAAACAGCTCAGCAAAGTCACTGTCAAAGGTATCAGATCGATCTCTGCAACAAAAGACAAATAGGAAGTTTGAATTATAGGGTAAGATGAATTGCCCCCAGAAACCGAATTTACTATTTACCGTGGTGGACAAAAATATTACACTTTGTACAGTTACTCACAAAATTGAGTACATCTACAGTGAGTGTAAAAAGTATTCGTACACTAGTCAATTTGAACAAAAACTTTGCAGAACCTTGTTTATTACAAAAGTATGTTAACGAAAACATGCATACATATTCTTAGAAATGTCTGGAACAAATGTCATTAACAACAAATTATTTATTTATATGTATTATGAAAATATTAACAAATTTCCAGAAATTGACCTAAAATATACGCGTAATAAGTATTCGTACACTTCTAATTTTACAACAAAAACAGTAAATTTTAGTACATAAACGTAACAAAAATCAGTCTATTTGCTATTTTAGTATCTAGTGGGATTTCCTTTAGATTCTATAATCGCTTTAAGCCTTTGCGACATTGAATTTACTAAATTTTTGGTTATAGTACTAGAAATTTTGTTCCATTCCTCTAAAAGTGCATTTTTTAAATCTTGTTTCGAAGAAATGTCATGGTCTCGAATTTTTTCTTCGAGATGACTCCATAAGTGCTCTATCACATTTACGTCTGGAGACTGTGGAGGGATTTTTAATTGCTGCGGCACATTATATAGGATCCACTGACGTGCATTATAAACATTATGCTTTGGATCATTATCTTGCAAAAATATATAATTGCTCTGTAACTGCATTTTATTTGCACTAACCTGAAGATGCTCTTTTAGAATATCGATGTACATTTTATGATCCATGATACCTAACATGATGGCCTAACTACCAAACTGTGACTGATCCTCCTCCATGTTTTACGGTCGGCTTCAAATTTCTTTTTTCGTGCTCGGTATTTTTTTTCCGCCATACTGTAAATCGTCCATCTGACCCAAATATGTTAAATTTACTCTCATCGGTAAATATAATACTATTCCAGTGCTCCATAGAAACATTAACGTACTCTTTCGCGAATTGCAATCGTTTCTTTCCATTAATTTCATTTACGAAATATTTCTTACGAGCTACTCTGCCGTGATATCCTCTATCCCGTAAAAAATTACGCACTGTGCTACTGCATACGTTAATGTTCAGATCATTTTTAAGTTCAGCTGTGATTTTCACCGCACTTATCTTTGGATTTTGCTTTATTTTTCGAATTATCCATCGGCCGGTATACTCGTTTATTATTCGTTTACGTCCGTTTCTTGGAATAGTGTTTGTACGCGTAACTATTTGCGCGTTTGCCTTTTTGTACGCATACCTCACACGCCTACTTAAAATTGTGTGAGTATTTAGGGTGCTTTACAGAAGCAAAGACGATGGTTGTTCGTTAAGTCTTTATTTTGAAACAAGTAGATGACGAGACTCTTGAGTTGTATTCTGACTGAGCGTTGCTTGATATCTGTCTAACAGTGGTATCTTTTAGCGCTTTTCGACTCGGTGAAGTTGTGGTTGGTTGGATTCATTAGTGGAAAGGGCGAGATGGATGGCTTCTTATTGGTGGTGCTTGGTAGGAGGGTGTATCAGGAATGTTCTTGAGGCGTGTCTTAAATGTTTAAATATTTTGGGAAAATGTTTGTCGTTGGGGCAGGTATGGTTTATTGGGGGTGTTTGCACGTGAGGTGCAGCTGTCGAGGAGTCTATGTTTATGGGGACGGTTTTAGCCGCTAAAATGCTTAATTGCCTTGCTTCTATGGTCTGCTTATGGCGACCCTTTTCCAAGCTACCTGCGTTGGACGCAAATATTCGTTGTTATAAAATATCCCGTTCTTAAAAATGATTTCGCTGCGCGACAAATAGTTTTTACAGTTTTTCGATCGCCATATCTGTCAATGATTCCTTGAATCGTGGACCTCGGTTTATTTAAAACTTTAGAAATTTCACTCAGTGTTTTACACTTATTATGTAAATTTATAACAATTTTCCTTTCTTCTTCAGAGGTTTCCTTGCGTTTTCGTCCCATTTTACTAATAATTTCGTTGATAATACTTAGGATACTACCTATACCGACAGCGTCTCCAGGCATGCTGATGCTAAGTATGTTTACATATGATGGATTATCTTGTAATCGTTCTACGTGGAATGTTACGAATCAAAGACTGTACGAATACTTATTACGCGTATATTTTAGGTCAATTTCTGGAAATTTTTTTAATATTTTCATAATAAATATAAATAAATAATTTGTTGTTAATGACATTTGTTCCAGAAATTTCTAAGAATATGTATGCATGTTTTTGTTAACATACTTTTGTAATAAACAAGGTTCTGCAAAGTTTTTGTTGAAATTGACTAGTGTACGAATACTTTTTACACTCACTGTATACAGCGTTCGGGAATGTTTCTTGGAAAAGAAGAGAAATTTAACCTTCTATAAAGCAAATTATGTTTACCTGTTTAATATGACCATTTTAAAAATATTAATAATGAAATATAAATTGCCAGGTAAATTCCAGTAGACAAAAATTTTCATCTGTACTCATTTTAGTGTGAGATATTGTAATTATTATTGTTTTAATACTTCAATTGATACATACTAACAAAAAAATTAAATCAGACTTAAAAAATGGAAATAATGGGTATGTAGTAACTTGTAGTGACGCTGTGTTATAGAAGGTTAATTCTTTGCATTCGATAGTCCTTTTGCTATGGGGATCCAACAACTCGAAACTGTTTTGATAAAAGAACTTTGTTGCAATGTTGCTTTGAAGCTAATAAAATCTTAACGCCTTCTAAGGCAATAAAACAGATCAAGTTCGAAATAATGATTTCAATGAAATAACAAACACATTGGTTCACTATAAAATGCAACTGAATCAAACGTAAACAGTTATTGTCGCTCTTGATACGCCATTCGAGCTGTTAGACATACTTGAAAGTAGAAATTCATTCGAGACCATCACATTTCTTCGAAACAAGATTTAAAAAATGCACTTTTAGAGGAATGGAACAAAATTTCTAGTACTATAACCAAAAATTTAGTAAATTTAATGCCGCAAAGGCTTAAAGCGATTATAGAATCTAAAGGAAATCCCACTAGATACTAAAATAGCAAATAGACTGATTTTTGTTACGTTTATGTACTAAAATTTATAGTTTTTGTTGTAAAATTAGAAGTGTACGAATACTTATTACTCGTGTATTTTAGGTAAATTTCTGGAAATTTGTTAATATTTTCATAATAAATATAAATAAATAATTTGTTGTTAATGACATTTGTTCCAGAGATTTCTAAGAATATGTATGTATGTTTTTGTTAACATACTTTTGTAATAAACAAAGTTCTGCAAAGGTTTTGTTCAAATTGACTAGTGTACGAATACTTTTTACACTCACTGTATGTAGTTGATAAACACTTGTGGGGAAAATGAACATAAACAGACATATTTATAAGTAAAAACGCATTATACATTTTACTTGTACATTTCAGCAGATAATGCGTGAAGAAATTTTTAAACGATATTGATTGTTCATCTATGTTTAAAAAGAACTGTAAATTATGCTTATTTTATCGTCACAAAATTGAGCGTACAGTTTATTAGGGACTAGAAAACTAACTATTGTAAAACTTCTCATGGTTTACAATTCATTCGATTGTATCTAGTAACATATTTCCGTTGCTATGATACGTTTGATTTTTATTTGTCGTTGTTTATTAGCGAATATTTGCACTACGGCTTCACGAAGATCAGAAACTGATATTTCTGTGCGAAAATTAGTTGTTAAATTGTATTGTCAAGGTAAATCTCCAAGGCAAAATGGAAAAATAATAGGTAGAGCCCACTCTACTGTAGAAAAAATTATTAACAATTACAATGGAACAATGGACAAATTAAAATTAATCCAAGAAGTAGTGTACCAAAATTAACAACGGATGTTTCATCGAGAATTAGAAAATCGATATCGACAGAAACTGTTCGTAGAGTAGCAAGGAAGAAGCCTTATATTTCCAAGGTGAATAGAATCGAGCGTTTGGAATTTGCAAAAAAATATGTAAGTTGTGATATAAATTTTTGGAAGAACGTAATATTTTCCGACGAAGTTAAAATTAATTTATTTAATTCGGATGGAACGAATAATAGTACGAAGACAACCGAAATCAGAATTTATCGAAACAACTATGGACAAACTAAAATATCTTGATATTTTGAAAAAAAATTTGAAATCGTCAATGATCCTAAACGTACATCGTATATTGTTAAAGAGTGGCTGCTATATAACGTGTCAAAATTATTACAGACTCCACCACAATCGCCGAATATTAATCCCACTGAGAATTAAAATTAAAATTAAATAATTGTAGTTTCAGTAATAAGACAGATGGTAAACGCAAAATTGTAGAAATATGAAATAGTAAAGTTGGAAAAGTCAGTCAACTTTTAATTCTATACGAAAAAAATTAAAACAGAAACTTTAATTTTAATTTTAACGCTGTTACATGAGAATCCCCGTTGTAGTTGCATTTGCGTAGGAAATATTGCGAAACAAAACTAGGATGTTGAGCGTGTGTAATCGTATCTTACTTTTGGTTCTCCAAAGCACGCTGAAAATATGAAGCTCGAACATGTAGTACATGGCAACGATAATCACTGCAGCAAGGGTTGCTTTCGGGATGAATTCAAAAGTCGAGGTCAGAAGGCCGCAGGCTAAAAGCACCAGGCATCCAGTAATTACACCGCCCATCGGTGTTTTTACACCCGAAGCGTTGTTTACGGCGGTCCTTGTGAAGCTTCCTGTGGCGGGCATCGATCGTACAAAGCTACCGAAAATGTTGCAAAGTCCCAAAGCCAACATTTCTTGATTAGCATCGACTGTTTTCCCTTTCGCTGGAACGAGACAATTGAAATCCAAACAAATTCAGATATTTACCGCAACCATCGAATCCCGACACCTTCGAACGTACCAACAGACTATTTAACGTTACTTCGAACCCTCAAAAGAACACAAATGCACGAACTTTTTCTGCTATCTGATATATTTTCGATTTTCAAAATGAAATAAAATATAAAGAAATGATCTCTGAAGGTCGGAATTACTAACAAGGATTTTATATTAGGTGTACAAATGAATAATTCATGAAATCAAGTTTAAAGTCGATAGATTTTCCCGCCCTTTTGAGGTTATATATTGTTGATATGTAGCTAGTTAAAAGAAAAGTTTTCATATGTAAATTAAACAATTTAAGTTGATTTTTAAGAACATACCGAATGCTTTGGAAATAGCGATGCTCTCCAAAATGGCGATCAGGGGAATCGAAATAGTGGTGCTTCCTAGTTCGCTAACTAACTCCACGAAATTATATGTGTAGTTCTGGGTTACGATAGAGAACGGCGGTGGACCAAATGGCGGCAAGCCTTCGGTTATGTTTCCAGTAATTTTAAAAGGCTTGATGCCATAACAGGACAATGAATAGCTTAATATTATCCCAAAGATGACTACGACAGCGTTCCTTGCCAATGATGTTACCCACAGAAACTTCCGAAATGCTGTCCCATTTTTCTTGCCAGGCAATTTCTGTTTTTCAATAGTTAAACAAATTTAGTTCAGTGCAACAATATTGAATGTACACGGGGTATCTTTGATTCACGATACAAGCAAAAAAGTTGCAGTTCCTCGCTTAAAACTAAGGAGAAATCAAAAATATGGAACTTTGTTTCTGAGAAAATTGATTTTAAAATTGGTTAAAGTTCGACTAATTGGAACTTGCAAAAAAATCATTAGAAATTGAAAGCTGGTTATCTCTGAAATTATTAGTTTCTGAACATACAAACATAGTACATAAAAATTAACCTTCTTTTTATCTTTTTTTTTTTAATGAAACTTTTACCAATGTATTTGTGAGAGTTTTGCGATTAAAATAAGACCAAACACGATACAATTTGTTTTTAACCTACTTCCAATAGAGTATAAAATCGTGTTAAATACGCAATTATCATGTTTGGTCTTATTTTTATCAGAAAATCCTCAGAAATAAATTAGTAAAGGTTCCATTATCAAAAAACAAATACTAAATGAGTTTCAGATTGTGTTACTCTTATTTATCCATGATTCGAATCCAAAAATTCGAAAACTGAAAATTAACCATACTTTTCGTAACCTCGAGACTTTGGTTTCGTGTTTTTCGTAATTATCCAAGATTTGCTGTGTTTTGTAGTTTTCGAAGCTACGAATAAACTTTGAATATTTACATATTCGAATTCTATAAGAAATTATTTATAGCCTCCATCTTACTGTTCAAATACTTGCACAAAATATTCGACAATTATTAACAATTAGATCCCGAACTCGATTTATTCGAATTCTATAAGAAATTATTTATAGCGTCCATCTTACTGTTCAAATACTTGCACAAAATATTCGACAATTATTAAAGTTATTAACAATTAGATCCGAAACTCTGATTGGAACAGTTTAAGGAGTGAACTTACTTTCAAGCAGACGAGTAGAATCATGGAACAGACTCCTAATAACGTGTCCCAGAGTGTAATCTCGTTAGCATAATTCGCAACTTTAACAATGGCGTCGATGAACGAGTCGCTTCTGCCGGTCAATCCGAGAAGCGTGCCAAGCTGAGACGTTGCTATTATTATTGCTGCCGCGTTAGTGAATCCAGAGATTACTGGCAGGCTAACGAATTCCAGGAGAAATCCCAAATGGAGCAACCCCATCACCGTAATAACGCAACCCGACACGATACAGATGAACACCTGTAAAAGGAACGACATCGATCGAAACACGTTATACGTATGTATGCACTCGCGTCCGTAATTATATTGACACGCTACATATTTTATTATTAATGAATACAACTGGTAGCCAGAATAAAAAAGTGAAATTTCCTTTGCAATACAAATATGTTTCTTAACTGTTATATTTATGCATAATAAAAATATGCATTTTTCATAATTACAGGTATATCTACAGGGTGTACCATTTAACTTAAATATGTTTATTGACTTTTGTATTTATGCATAATAAAAATATATATTTTTATAATTACAGGTACATCTACAGGATGTACCATTTAACTTAAATATGTTTATTGACTTTTGTATTTATGCATAATAAAAATATATATTTTTATAATTACAGGTACATCTACAGGATGTACCATTTAACTTAAATATGTTTATTGACTTTTATATTTATGCATAATAAAAATATGCATTTTTATAATTACAGGTATATCTACAGGATGTACCATTTAACTTAAATATGTTTATTGACTTTTATATTTATGCATAATGAAAATATACACTTATAATTACAAGTATATTTACAGGGTGTCCTATTTAGGGTTTGGAAATAATCTCATGGACAAGTAATTTAAAAATTCAAGGTGATACTGCTAGTTTTGTTATTTCAAGGTCATCGAATGCACAAATTTTGTTTGAAACTTTGTTCTGTAAGTTCTATATTTTTGAAGATATTTAGCTGAATCGTCAAGTTTGTTTCAAGGTTAATTCTGTTTTTCTGTTAAAATTCATTTTTAATCGGAACATTGAATTTCGAGAAGAATTCTATTAATAAGAATATAAATTTGCATAAAGATCCGCACTCTGTTCGTTTCATTTGCTGTACATGTTAAAAATAAACACTAACGAACGGTCTGTTGCAAAGATTTTATTTTATTGATATAATACACCTCTTTTCCTTTTTATAATATGGTAGCACAGCGTGGTTACGATCCACGGACCTCAGCAGTCATTACCAGTAGCGCCACCATCACCTTCGTACGCATTGCTATATGTATACACGCGTCTCGTAGTCTCGTTTATTTCTTGTAAGGTAAAGAAATTTTCGAATTCAAGGGAAAACTGGTGAAAAACGAAGTGAAAAAAGTGTACTTACGGCTATGTCTTCTCCGAGTCTTATAACGTGCTGTTGCGACAACAAAGCCATAATTGCTGTAGGCCCAACCGTGATGTCTTTGCAACTGCCGAACACCAAGTAGACGAAACACCCCATGAAACTGCTGTACAGGCCGTACTGAAGTTTTCAAAAGTTCATCTGACGAGAATCAGCTTTCCAACTATCGTCGATTCGGTTCGTCCGCGAATTTTTTACCGAAAACCCGAAATATTTTATTTTTTATTTCGTTCGAGACAAAGATTTATTCGCGAACCTTGGCCAACGCTGTTCTCAACGATATTTTGCGTGTCGTTAAAAACTATATCATTCTTTAATAGCAACACGTTATGGATCAAAATTAAGTATAAATTAATTTTTTCCAATGATTTAAATTTTAGTAACATTTTTTTTATTTTTTATACGCGAAACGCAGTACAAAAGAGGTTTCTTTATCTGTTGAGGAATGCAGTGTCGCCATCTATGAGACTTATGCGAATGGGACTTCCCCGCGCGACGCTTAGAACGTTCTACTCGATGGTGAAACATGTCATTTTTTTATTTACGTAAAAGTTAATTAGTATTAAAGCATTATTTAAGTAATAACAACTACATCAAATACGTTCGTATTCATGGTTTACCCAAACTATAACATTATCTAATGACTAATTGAAGCGAGTTAAAGTCAGTTTGATAACGTTATCGCTCCATTACTTACCTCCTCATACGCATAAACACGTGTCTTATAATTAGGTAAACATTCGCATAATGGGAGTCCAATTTCTATAATTTAATGATCGTAAAATTTATACTTTGTTATTTTATTAAAAACAGAGGCAAGTCTTAATCTTTAATTCAAAGCACGAACGAATTTAATTAACTATGTCTTGAATATCAACCAAATATTTAGTCGAAACATTAAAAGACACTGTAGTTTTTTTACATTTTAGTAACAAATGACAGTTTATATTTTCGAGCAATTTTAAAGAGTGAAGAAACTGTCATGAAAGAGTTTATTAACTGTCATAAAGAGCTATTACAATGATATTTTAAATGTTTAATTTATTCAGAGTAAACATGCACGAAAAAAAGATTCATAGAGAGAAAGAAAAAAATATTAATGAACATATTTTTAAAAATTTGATTTCATTTATAAAATGTAGTTAAACTGTTGACCGTTCGTTTCAATGCCATTAACTGCATTGAATAAAATTAAATTGTCGTCGACGTACAGGACTCTGAATATTAAACGGTCTATTATACAGAGTGTTCGACCACCCCTGGAAAAAATTTTAATGGGCGATTCTAGAGGGCAAAATAAGACGAAAATCAAGAATAGCAATTTCTTGATTGACGCTTCGTTAAAAAGTTATTAACGTTTAAAGTTCCGATAAAGCTGTCGATACGACACTAAGTAGAGTTTCCTATGCTGAGTGAGAACCACTATCGTGCGCGCGCAGCTGTACGCAGGTTGCCATTCTACAGGCGCAACAAGTGAAATTAAAAAATTTCAAATCGTTCTGGAAAAATTATTTTCAGTTCCGAGAGTCGATTACAATAATTTTTGGTGAAAAGACATACCCACGAAATCCTGCGTATTTTCTAGAAAAAAATTCGAGAAGATGCTGAAATTTTTCGACGAAATTAACAAATTTCAAATAGTTCTGGAAAAATTATTTTCAGTTCCGAGGGTCGATTACAATAATTTTTGGTGAATAGACATGCCCCAGAAATCCTACTGAGTTCCGAGAAAAAAATTCCTTACCGAAAATATAATTTCTAGTCTGCACGAATTTTCATACGAATCTTTAAAACGTCATAACTTCTGAACGGATTGGCCGATTTTAATGTTTCAAACGGCAAACAACGTGTATTTCAGTGGAGAATATGTAGAAATTCCAAAAATATTCGAAAAGTTGTTTCATAATCCCGTGAAAAGAGATAAAACCCCTAAAACTGGTCCAGTTTTCAAACGGCCATAACTCCTACAATAGTAAAGACATCCCATTAAAATTTATTTCTGAAGTGGTGCTCATGGGTACCTCCGAAAAAGTATTAGACAACTTTTCTGTAGAGTGTCAAACAAAATTACTAAAAATTAAAAACGAATTTTAAAGAAAAATCGACAGGGGGTAAAAAAAAAAAGTTTCTAATCGTTCTGGAAAAATTATTTTCGGTTGCGGGGGTCAATTACAATCAAATGTGGTGAATAGACATACCCCCGAAATCCTACCCACTTTCTAGAAAAAAATTCGAGAAGATGCTGAAATTTTTCGACGAAATTAAAAAATTTCAAATAGTTTTGGAAAAATTATTTTCAGTTCCGAGGGTCGATTACAATAATTTTTGGTGAATAGACATACCCTCGAAATCCTGCGCATTTTCTAGAAAAAAATTCGAGAAGATGCTGAAATTTTTCGACGAAAATTAAAAAATTTCAAATCGTTCTGGAAAAATTATTTTCAGTTCCGAGGGTCGATTACAATAATTTTTGGTGAATAGACATACCCTCGAAATCCTGCGCATTTTCTAGAAAAAAATTCGAGAAGATGCTGAAATTTTTCGACGAAATTAAAAAATTTCAAATCGTTCTGGAAAAATTATTTTCAGTTCCGAGGGTCAATTACAATAATTTTTGGTGAATAGACATACCCCCGAAATCCTACCCACTTTCTAGAAAAAAATTCGAGAAGATGCTGAAATTTTTCGACGAAATTAAAAAATTTCAAATCGTTCTGGAAAAATTATTTTCAGTTCCGAGGGTCGATTACAATAATTTTTGGTGAATAGACATACCCTCGAAATCCTGCGCACTTTCTAGAAAAAAATTCGAGAAGATGCTGAAATTTTTCGACGAGAAATTAAAAAATTTCGAATCGTTCTGAAAAATTATTTTCAGTTCCGAGGGTCGATTACAATAATTTTTGGTGAATAGACATACCCTCGAAATCCTGCGCATTTTCTAGAAAAAAATTCGAGAAGATGCTGAAATTTTTCGACGAAATTAAAAAATTTCAAATAGTTTTGGAAAAATTATTTTCAGTTCCGAGGGTCGATTACAATAATTTTTGGTGAATAGACATACCCCCGAAATCCTACCCACTTTCTAGAAAAAAATTCGAGAAGATGCTGAAATTTTTCGACGAAATTAAAAAATTTCAAATAGTTTTGGAAAAATTATTTTCAGTTCCGAGGGTCGATTACAATCATTTTTGGTGAATAGACATACCCCCGAAATCCTGCGCATTTTCGAGAAAAAAATTCAGTAAGGTCGGAACTTTAAACGTTAATAACTTTTTAACGAAGACTCAATCAACAAATTGGTATTCTTGATTTTCGTCTTATTTTGGCCTCTAGAATCTCCCATTAAAAATTTTTTTAACGATATTTGTTTCCAAATCTTGTATTTTTTGTTAGGTCTGGGTAGAACATTATCGAACGTGTATACACACCTGAGCTGGAAGTCCAGCCACGATTGCATAGGCTATGCCCTGCGGTATAGCAGTTAAACCCACTGTCAATCCTGCTAAAATATCTTGGAGAAGTTTGCTCCAAGTGTAGAGAGGCAGCCATGTCAGAATCGGTATCCTTCGCAGAAGAAGTTGCTTTAAATCGAGCTTCGAGCTCACGTTCCTCCCTGCAATCCGTCAAGTTGGCAACATTTATTTACTCAGAATTAATTAGTTCTCAACTAATTACCTACTTATTCGCTAGTTCGCCAAAGCAATTATATTCGATACGAGTTCATAAACTGAATATTTTCAAACGAGACCCTCTTTCACCAATGTCCTATTCGACTAATCGAAATAATTATTCTGTTATTTCGTGCACTCAAAATCGACTAACATTTTTTTGTTTGTTTTTTCCTGATGATTGCCGTCTCTTTGAATTTCAGTAAAAGCTTTTAACGCTAGAACTATTAAGAATTATGGTGTATTTATTCGTATCGATGAAATTAAAACGACAGATACCTGAAGTATAACATAATGGAAATGAATTTTCATTCTCTCGTGGATAATTATTATTGTAAATTTTCAAAAATCCAGTCAAATATTTTACAATTGATTTTTATCGCTATAATTCTAGCGTTGATCAATGGAGGATTAAATATTCAAGCGACGTGTCAGTTTGCAAAAAAATTCGAAACTTTTGGTGATTCTACGGATAAACGTTGGCAAGCATTATAGTCCATTAAACGATGATAAACACGTGTGTACATTATTCGATAAATCAATTACGCGGCAGACAAACGTTAATTTGACCATGAAGATAATGGCCGTGCCACGCCATAAATAAATGGTAACCGGTGAATCGGTTAACTAATGGAAAATGCGATAGAAATCATGAAATTGCACTTCGAAGGACCGTATTCGCTTGCCAGAAGATGGTACTCAAACATAGATTTCCTCGATTGCGTCACTATAAATCTACGATACGCGATAAAACGATACAAAGCCTTGGAATTCCTTCAGAATTTCTGTTTTTGCAAAGCTTAATATTTTAATTCAAATTTTCTTTAATTCGATCCAACCTCGTCTCAACGTAAACTCTGACTGTTGGAAACAATTTTAAACATAGGAGATGATAAAACGTTTTAAATGTTTACAAAGATGTGTTCTTACGTATTGGCACTGGGGAATATATCGTTCCAGACATTTTCACTAACTTCGCGCTAAAAATGCACACAGAAATAACAATTATCGAACAAAAATTGTTATTCGTTACGATCACATGGGATTTAATTAATACTTCACGGCTCGTTCTATCTAAAGGAGATGTTTTGTTTGAGCAGTGTTGCTTCCGAAACGAATGAAACAAGACTCCCAAGAGTTCTAAAGAACGAGTACCGGATGAAAAATGAGGAGATCTAAAATTAAATCTCAAATAGGAGACACTGCAACATGTCCATTACCATTGACCATAATCTGTTAATCGCTAATGTCCTTGTGATGTCTGCAAATTTTGTCAAATTACATTAATAACGTAACGTTGGCAAGTAAAGACATCCTCCAAGTCTTGAGAAACGAGAAACTAAACATTGGTTTGGATCGATAAATTGTTGGTCGATTCAAGCTACTTATTGCATTAAAACGTTTTAAACTCGGTTCTCTCAGACGTCCACGGTACAATATTATTTGTTATAAAAAAAATCCCACGATAAAAACAAAAACAATTATGCACATAGAACTCGGTTGGAAGAATGTGACAAATATTTCGAAAATATGATAAAAGTTATATTAAATATTTTGAAATTATGAAAATTATTTTCTAATTATCATCTCCGATATACAGAGTGTCCAAAGAGGTTAAAATCAAACTTATACTATATGTTTCGAAAATGCTTTATTGGAAAGATATGAGATTCTAAAGATATTTATGATTCATTGTTAGAAAATACATTTACTATTATTTTCAATACAGATGGAATATTTGAGAGAGTTCGACGAAGTCTGTTTTCTCGCAGAAGAATTTTCGAACATTTCTTACAACTGTCACAATAAATCGGAAATATTTTTAAAAGCTTATACCTTTCCGATAAAGCACTTTCTGGCATAAGTTTGTTGAAACTTTCTTTATCTATTTGGCCTCAGTGATACATAGTGTTTATAAGTTTGGCCCCCAACTTTTTGGTCACCCTGTATAGGTATACATATTTCTAACGTATTTATATGTATATATACATGTTGTTTTCATGCATCTACCTACACATCACCATGTTTTTGATAGACACAGATCGTCGTTTTGTCCAATAAAACAATAATCGTACAAGTACGATTTAAAATAAATGGAGGGAGAGGAATGGGTAACACTAGTGGACCACTCTGGACAATGTACTTTACGTTCGAAGCATTTTCACGGCACTGTCACTCTTAATAAAGCACAGATCTAATTAACACCGTGATAACCGGCGAATAGTAAGTTTTCTGGTGCAGAATCGTACGCAGATAACGCGTTTAACTTGAGATTACCTGGCTCTGCAAACAACAGAACGGTTCGAACCTGCAGCGTGTATTGACACTGCATAGAAAAAATTTCTTTATAAAATGTTTTATCTTGCCAATCCGTTGATTCCGTCAGATAACAGATCACATGATTAATTACGATAGGTCGTGTCTAAACTCGTAGAATCCCCGGCGCGTGTTGAAATTTAATAACGCGGTAAGAATTCGCGGAACGATATAGGATAATTTCGCCATCTTGGAAGATCAAGGCACCCGAAATAAATTTGGAACATAATAAATATCCTAAAGGCTCCGCGAGCTTTATGGCAGACAGATTAAACGCTCGTCTCGCGATACAAAGAAATTCCAAGAGTGATATTTTCGAAACGTATATTTTAAAAACATTCGAATTTAACGCGATCACTGCCGGTTTTCAATGTCCAAATATCTCCTCGATATTTACTTTTTTAACGCGAAACATAGAAGTATTCGATAATTCAATGGTGAATTGAATATTGTTATTTTACAATATTTCAAATTAAAGTAGCATTATTTACAATTTTACAAGTATTAGTTCAAAGTGTCGGTCACCGGTGACCGCCGTGGCAATCAACGTGTTAAACAGAATGAAAAATTTCAAACGATATTTTAAGTGCATTATTAACCTTTAGAAATATTAATTCAATAAATGAATCAATTTTATTTTTTGTAATTAGAAATTAGAGATTATAAAATAAGAAATATAAATAAAATCATGAACCAACAAGAAAAAAAACAAACAATATTAGTATACTAAAAGATAAGAGGAAGATTCGTTCAAAATATTAATTTTCTAAATAAGCTCCAGCAGAGCTGAGAATAATTGTTAATAATTGATGCTTGTGTTTACGTTTATGGTTGCATTAATATTGTTCATTGTTTAATCCTTGAGCATTATGGTGTATCGCATTAAAATTTTCACATTTATTGTATTTTATATTTATATTATTATTTTATATTTTATATTATGTATTTTATGGCACACTAAGTACATTTTTGGCTTTGTTTCTTTGTATAAAAATTAAGTTTTAACAATATCGTGTTTATGACTCTCATTTTTATGAACAGTAAGTTACATGATTATTAAAAAATGTAATTGGGTTATAATTCCTGCGGCGAGTAATGTTAGGGCCCGCCGTGGCGCGTCGCTTCGCTCGCTGCTGCGGTTTGTTGTTGCTTGTGGCACGTGTTAATGATGTAACCGCGTAAAGGTTTATTACTATTATATACTGTCATTTATATTACTCCATTTGTGTATTCTATAAATATGTAACCTATTTTTTATTGCCTATATCTCAAATAAACTGTGTTCATATAAACTACACGTTCACTTTAACCCTGCTGCGCCATAAAAAAATAATAGCTTCGTAAATGGTGAAAAACTACCGAAAAACGGAAATGAATAAATTTAGTTCGTAGAGATAATCAGTTCAAAGATACCGAATGATCAAAACTATTGACAGACGCTATTGAATGGATAAGAATAGAGCCGTCCAAATGTACTATCAGAACAAACACTACTCGACACAGTTGTGAAACGAAATATTTCTGGCACACATAACAATTCTCAAGCAAAGAATGAGATCGAAAAATTATTTTACAAGTCACAAGTCACAAGTAACACGACAATCATAAACGAAACGTTGCAACTGAGAGTATTTGAAATGATCTTGAAGCAAATCATATTTTATGTAATAGAGTAATCTATAATCGATAATATGTTATCTAGTTTACGTTCAAAGAAGAAAATTCTGGTTTACTGTATAGTAAATCTTATAAATTTATTTCCTGTTTTATAATTCAGTAAACTATGCAAAATTAAAAAATAGCTAATTGTATAGAAATAGTGCATGAAAAGATATTTAAAACTGATGAATTGGAATGTAAAAAATAATTTATCGAAGATAAACGACACGTGTATCGAACATTAAAAATGTTTGTAAAAAGAAAAATAGTAAATCTTATAAATTTATTTCCTGTTTTATAATTCAGTAAATTACGAAAAATTAAAAAATAGTTGATTGTATAGAAATAGTGCATGAAAAGATATTTAAAACTGATGAATTGGAATGTAAAAAATAATTTATCGAAGATAAACGACACGTGTATCGAACATTAAAAATGTTTGTAAAAAGAAAAAAAATGTTTTTTGAGCCAATCGCAGTCGGTAGGACTCGAACCTACGCTCCCAGAGGGAATCTGATTTCTAGTCAGACGCCTTAACCACTCGGCCACGACTGCTATGATTGCTTCTCGCTGCATTTACGTAAAATAGAAAAAATTTCATAAAATATAAATCTAATACAAAGAAAAATTACAAAATTACAAAGCTATAAAGTAAAAATGAATTGTCACGACTTCTCCTCGATTTTAAAGACAACTAGAACCCTTAATCCCATTATTAAAACGTTATTTCTACACGAAACTAAGTGGAAACATAATAACGTTAGCAGTTCATCAGTTCTACACGATTGGAGACATCTATGACTTAACAGGAAATATGTAATCGACGTAGAAAACAGGAAAAATGTGGAAAAATAATGGACGACTTGTGATATCGAAGATAGAGTTGTCGTTGGATCGAGAGTTTGAAAATAAAACTTACTCAACAAGGGTGTTGTTTCACGAACATTTCCTCGTACGTACGGCATTTTTACAGAATCGAATCTTGCATAAATGCAGCTACGTACACTCACCGCAAAAGCTTCGCATGGCCAACACAAAAAGAATGATGTGTCTGACTTGTAAAAGAACTGGGAACGTCGATAAGGTAGAGCATGATTATTAAGCGTGACTGTTGATGCATAGTTATCACTTAAACGACTATACGCAATGCCATGGCCATAATATGTAATAGAATCGCTTCATTTATTCCGAACTAAGATATCTTACATGGTCGATGAAATAGAAAATTATTCCATATTTTTCTATCTTCTTTATTATCATTGAAGATACTATGTACTTATTCGGATAAAGCTAATGTTTTCAGTCATATAATCAATTATTGTAATTATTTAAATAGACGATACGTGACGTTGCAAACGGTAAAAGTTCTTTCATGAAAGGAGAACGGAAATGTATTCGCTTGAAGATAATCGGTAGCCATTATTGTAGAAGCGCGTAGTGAATTACTGAACGCTTAAATAAATCTAATGTCGACAGGTATGTGGCTACAATGGATGATCTTACTTCTTACTGGTTATCGAATTGATAGCCTTGATCAATACGATATCTCTTTGTTCGCAGCGATCTGCAAAATAATTGTGTCATAAATTTTTCAATAAACGGACAACAGAATACGGCGTCCTTGTGTCTCAAAATTATTGATGAGTGTGCACGTGCATCCTATGTCGTTGTATCGATCTTATTTACTATCTGAAAGAAAAAATAGAAAACGAAGAAATGATTATCCAAATGGAAAATTCTGGGTTTCCATTCAATTTTGAAACTGAAAAGAACTTCTTAAAAATAAGAAATAAAGAATATCGATTCCTTGAACTTGAAAATTTTATTTTTGATTAGTTTAATAAATACTGTAATTTATCGTTTAAATAAGTTATTTTTTTGTGCAATATTAATATAAGAGAAAAATTGATTACTAAATTGTTTAAAATACTTTCAAAATAGAAACTTCCAGAAGTTTTGTATAAAGTTGTAATAAATTAGGTATTTTCCATGATGTGAAATATTTTTCTTTGTGTCCAGAATGTATGTGTGTACATATATGGAAAATGGAATTGTGATGGAATGAAATATTTACTTACAATGAACTCATTAGCAGAAACGTGGTTAAACTGAAGTAAAAGTGTGCCGTTATGTCCATGAAATAATGCAAAACAGAGATTTCATTACAGATACATTACAGTGCTTTCGCTATTAAGTGACGGGAATGTTACTAGCGTCAGTAATTCCTGTCGAACGACTTATCTAATTCATTCATACATAATTACATTAATTACTCGTTCGTACATATGTATACACTACGAATACATGTTAATATAAAATGGTAATTGACACTCCCACGAAAACAATACCTCTAGTCCTGGTAAATATTTATCCTCAGTAATTTATTAATAAAGAACAATAATATAAAGAATGCCCCTGTTCTGTATATTTTAAACAAATTTGAAATCAGCAAAATGATGACTAGGTTATGTTTCAATCTGTCGAGTGACGGGGCAATCAAAATGGTAAAAACAGATGAATCAATTACAATTTATATTTTTTTAACATCGTCACTTTATCAAATGCAATGTAATAAAGAAGAATTTGAAAAATTGCAATTAAATCTATACTATTTACATTGCTAGATAATAATCGAAAATAATATGCAATAATGTCGTTTTCGTTTCCTAATGTATTTCTACAAATTTTTTTTGTTATGCTCCATCAGACAGGTAGACCATTGCTCACGTAACAATGAACTATTTCGCTAAAACGCAATACTTAATGTCGTGAATACATTATTACGGGCAAGGCAAATCCGTTTGACTTTGTTATTTATGGTTTCGATCAATTCCTTCGATATTCACGAGCGATTAAAACGGAAAACGTACGTAACGTGGGAGACGTAGGAGATTTTTTACGTAGACTAATTAATAAATCGACTTACATTTGTTGCCTTTTATTACTTTTCTTCTGGATCTGATTCGTGTTGCAATCCTAAGTTGTTTATTCCAACGACGATTACAGTTAAAAAATAAAATTCTCTTAAACGACTTCATAGAAAAAGATCATAATCGAAGGTATATTCCACAGTTACGTAATCAATGGTGCAATACCGACTTACCTACAACCTAAGATAATGCGTGGTCGAAAATTCAATAATAAATATTTCTTTTCCATTCGTTGCATCAGTGTTACGAATAAAAAGATTTATCGATTTACATGAATTTTATTTATGTAACCTTATCGTTTCTAATGCTCGTCCATATTACCTTGAATTTCCAACGTTCAACAAATACATACGTGACTTCTTGTTACACTTACATATATTCGTAATTTCGCATTGTACTTTGAACGGGAAGTATCATTGGAGTAAAAATGTTCTTTTTATGGTGCACTTTATTCAATTAGAATTACGCATTTGTAAATATTTCTATTTTTATTTTATTTTATTTTATTTTATTTTATTTTATTGATGAATAGATAATTGAATTATTATAAAAAGTTAAACACTTTATTCAATTAGGATTAAGTACTTGTAAATATTTCTATTTTTATAGAATGAAACATGAAAAGTATGAATTCTTTAAACATTTTAATAATCCTGATAAATAGATAATTTAATTATTATAAAAAGTTAAACACTCTATTCAATTACGATTACGTATTTGTAAATATTTTTATTTTTATAGAATGAAACGTGAAAAGTATGAATTCATTAAACATTTTAATAATCCTGATAAATAGATAATTTAATTATTATAAAAGGTTAAACACTTTATTCAATTAGGATTACGTATTTGTAAATATTTTTATTTTTATAGAATGAAACGTGAAAAGTATGAATTAATTAAACATTTTAATAATCTTGATAGATAATTTAATTATTATAAAAAGTTCAAACAAATTTATAAAACAATTACTTTATCATATTGCAATAAAACACTGTATTACAGTAATTGCATATTAATTAGTTGCCAGAACATGCTTCCTCCAATCCTGAAATTTGAAGTGCATTCGCGATTCACATTTTTTACTAACTCCTTTCGAGCGTTTAATGATTCGTTTAATGCTTCTCGGTCTTTGTATGTATCAATAATCTTTTTCGTTATTCAACTTTGCAACTACGGGATACGGTACGTAATTGAACGTTTTTGCAAGGTTACAAAAAGCGAGTCGACGAGGATGGGATTCGAACCCACGCGTGCAGAGCACATTGGATTAGCAGTCCAACGCCTTAACCACTCGGCCACCTCGTCCGATGGCAACCACCGTTCTATTGACTCTATTTTTCTCTGACTGATCATCACAATCTGAAATAACTATGAGTAACTTTAATATTCGGACACTGTACAATTTTTACATTATAGCATTCTAATTTCATTCACAACGAAGGAAAAAAATATTGGATCCAGAATTATATTACCACATATGGTCTAGTTAATAAAAGTATAAATTTTATTTATATAGTTACCAACGTTTATTAAATGTTCCATTTTAAACAAAACAATGTCTGGTTTTAACGTTACAATAATATTCGGACACTGTACAATTTCTAACATTATCGCATTGTAATTTCATTCACAACGAAGGAAAAAAATATTGGATCCAAAATTATATTACCACATATGGTCTAGTTAATAAAAGTATAAATTTTATTTATATAGTTACCAACGTTTATTAAATGTTTCATTTTAAACAAAACAATGTCTGGTTTTAACGTTACAATAATATTCGGACACTGTACAATTTCTAACATTATCGCATTGTAATTTCATTCACAACGAAGGAAAAAAATATTGGATCCAGAATTATATTACCACTTATGGTCTAGTTAATAAAAGTATTATTTATATAATTACTAACGTTTATTAAATGTTCTATTTTAAACAAAACAATGTCTGGACACTTTTAAGAACTGATAGTTTTTGTAGTAATTTTTACGAACGAAAAGTAATTCAATATCGTGTAAGATATACTTTTTGACGAATATAGTTATATTATATTTAATCTTGTTTTAATCAGGAAATAGCCAGAAATATTAAAATTGATGATATTAAAATTTTGATTAAAAAATAGTTAATAGTACAAAAATTTTATAAAATTGAATCACTATGAGTCTCGTCAACACATCTTTGATCTCTGCCGGCTACTTTGAAGGCTCATCCTCTCTTTTCCTTTTTACAAAGGACCTTTTTGCGGAACATTTGGGCTCCGAATCTTTTATATATAGAAAGATTTAACTTCCAATTAGCCAAAGCCATGAATCTGACGTGCCTATTTCTAATAAACATTGGTCGACACCTGTCACATCGAAATGTTTCGCAATCGTTTTAACCATTCTATTGGCATTGACACATTATATAAATTAAACATTGTTTCGATAATACGATAAATTACCCGGCGTAACTATATTAAAAACAATAGTTAATTCAATGCTAATAAAGTTAATTTAACGTTAATAAAGTTAATTCAAAGTTAGTAAAATGTGTTGCATAATTTAAGAAACGATTCAGAAAAGTCGGAGAGAAAAGGAAGAAAATATGCAAACGCGTGGAAAAAGTGTCGTGTAAATAACGGTTTTAGATACCGACGTGGTTTGCAAGAATTTTAGAAGAATGCAAACGATGACTACCACCTGGAGACAATGCAGATTCGTTCATTGATAACCAAGAGTCACGTGTATCGAATTTACGTACATATCGGCCGAGAAATTCAGCATTCCTTGGGTTGCGTTACCTTTCGAGCAAATTCACTTTATTTTCATTAACTTCAAATCGACATCATCCCCACGATCTTACTCCAGAATATCGCCATTTTAGATTTTACACGAACAATAATACAATCGTTCATATTTCGTGTAACCTGATTAACACTTTGACTGCCACGTGACCCATATATGGGTAACAGAACTTTTAACAGTAGAACTGTAATAATGAATTCTCAAATTGAAATGTTAAAGAAAATAAATTTTAATAAGATGTACGAAAGCAACTACTACGACAACTGTTAAGTTGTGTAGTTTACAATTGCCTAAAACGAAAGTTTTGGTCCCCGT